CACTACTAGGCAGTGAGGATCTGGTAGGGGAACACAAACACGACGTTGACACTGAAGGTGTGAGATAATGGGACTTGAAGTTAGATAAGAATTTACGTACCTCGAAGTAATCTCAGTCCCACTTTACGAAAATCTTGTTCCCATCATCAGTAAAAATACCACCAACTTTTTTGGGCTCGTACGAGCTCGTACGAGCTTGTACGAGTGGAAAAGCCAGCAAGTGCGCGAGGAACCTAGGATTGACCAAAAGCTCACTTTCCAACTTTTTATAACAAGTAAATAAGTACAAAAAAGTGGGAAAAAAGGTGCTAAAAGTGATTCAAGTGGTCAAAGTTGTGCCACAGCTTGTTCACTTTTTTACTTAAAAAAGTTTGTGGATTTTTTACTGATGATGTATCTGGATTGACGTTATCATGCCATGACGAGAAGACGATGGAAGTTCGCTTGGTGGCTAAAGCTTCCGTTTCAACATTTAATTAATTTGATTGAAGGTCTTTGGTATGACTGGTCGTATCCGGGACACGGGATAATACATATTTAGTACTTTGGGACTCACAAATGCAACCCGCGTTACTCATGGGCGTCACGAACTCTCGACCGCAATGAATCCGTGGTTCAAGAATCTCCACGGAGTGTTGATAACTGAAATCCTGATTCAAGTTCCGAGTCCTATGACGCATGTTGTTATGAATGGTCTTTTCGAAGTTGTAAAAGACATACCGGCGATGTCAGGTAGGCTTGCATCTTCCGGTTATTATGGAGTACTCGCAACTTAGGCCCAGAACGAACTCCCAGCTGGTACGGAGTGAAATCCGCGGAATTAAAAAGAGGCCCGAGAACCAGGAAAAAATTACACGCCACCAACGGTATGGATAGACCTCGAGAGAGCGCAGAGTGTCAAACGAGGCTAAGTTACTCGAGTCGAACTGTAACAAAGGAGACGGACCAGGTTCCGCAAGTATGTCGGAAGGATCGTGTCAGTTAGTAGTCATAGTTTTGGGACAAGTAATTAACACAGCGAGTCGGCTGAGAAGAATGGAGGCAATTGTTGAATCTGGGGTAGATCCCCACTCACTATATTTAAAAGCAAGAACAACGTTAGGATTATCAACGTTTGTCGCTGAAATGAGATACCAAACGCGGCCAAAGCACAAATTTTCACACCATCAGCGCTGAAATGATGAAGGCTATGGCGCTGCGTGACCACAAAGTGAATGCAGGCCGCCGTTCGTTCTATGGCCTCCGAGTTTCGTTATCAAATCTCTATATCATCCGGAGTGTCTTGTTCGATGCATCAAACTCGAGCTTGGGCTAAGGCCTCGAGGTGTATGTCAGAGGTAGCGAGGCGTAGGAATGTACTGGGCAGTGAGACTCTGAGAGCCTGAGCAAGCTCCAACAAAACTCGAAACAAGGAACTGAAGACGTAACGGGAAGCTCGGATAAAAGAAACTCCGACACCTCGGAGCAATAGCAATTGCGGCGGTACTGTCCTAATGGCGAGCCCGTTCTTATGTGTTCCGGACTAAGGATTATTACATCCTGGCGATGAGGGTGATGCGGGTCAGCTTCGTGTTACTGATAGACTTTCCTATTGATGGCTCCAGTATGACGCTGGTAATCGGACTCGGAGGTAGAAATCGACTCAGTGGGGTCAATTGTGCTTGATTGAATGGCCAATGATGGGCATTGCCGCATTATACATCACGGTCGATGAAGGCAGTGTTGCGACTATCACGACACCCCGCTGTGTGGGTGCCGAATCGCCAACAGAGCGGCGCACAGCCAGAACATACAGTGTACTGTACTGAATCAGCAAAACTTATTAGCATTGTTTGTAGCCATGCTTACGGGGACGTTCCCGCGTGAGCACAATTGAAGTTTGGGAAGCTACTAGGCTAGAGTTAGTTCCAGTCTGAGTCCCGATGAGGGTACCCATGCGGATCCATGTCAGGCCGAGAATGTCGGCTGAGCCGTGCCGCGCCATAAAGGTGGTCTCCTGGGCAAGGCAAATTGAATATTTTCTCCTCGCAAGAAGCTGGTTTCCATACCGCAGAAAGTGTGACCCCAAACGCCTGTGCTTTTCCGCACCTGCAGAATCCTACCACAGCAAGCAACAATACTGCGCACGAGTTACTAGTGGTTGTCCAAGAGCACCTCTGGAGCGTCGTCGAGGGTTTTGCAGTTGGGTTTACCCTAGCCTTAGAGGCTAGGGGCTTGCAGGAATCAAAATGAAACATTTCGTGGGCATCCTCTCGAGGAAGGCTGCGTTGCCCGAGTCGATGTATTAAATTTTTATTTTTATTTTATTTATTTTGGACGGGGAACATTTAAGTCCCCGTAACTGCACTCTGCTCGTCCAACACGAGAGCGCCATTACTCCGTGTTGCGCTCAACCATACTCACTTGGGTCTCACCGCTGCAGCTGAATTACGGAGGAACAAGAGAAGCAAGAGCGCAGGCCGCTGATATACCACCGCTAACGCTCACGCCGAGGCCCAGAGGCTTGCCTTAAACCAGCCATGCCAACGATCACAACCGTTAGATCTCTGTCCCGACTCACACCGCCTCACATTCCAAATCAGACATCACTTCCAATGAACATCTTCTCCGGGAAATTGAAGGATCTCCTATCTGTGGGCTTGTCATCAACCCTCCCCATTCCCCGGGCCATATCCTGTCGCGGGTACGTAAGGTTTCCAACAATCTAATGATGTTATGATAAATGACCCTCCCCCTCAGGCTTACCTGTCAGATGCCAGTCTGATCCCAAGACAACGTATACGCCACCTGATATACTCATTACCTCAATCTCTCACACTCCAAAGGACGGGTTACCACCACATCTGCACCCCTCCCAACCGCTCTCATATCTTCGGATCCGCCTTGAAGTTGCTGCGGAGCGTGGCATTGCTCTACCCTGCAGGGGCCCCCTGATTTCGATGACATGTACACTAATATAGTGAGATCCACGTTGCCTACGCTATTGCAGTTCTAGATAACTTGAACGGACGGGGAACTTTCCAAGTCAGTGAATGGGAGAAATGCCCTGCTGGAATGCCCCTGCCCTCTCCTCCGGCAACGAAGTCCATGACGGGGACCAACATGAATCCATCGAAGGCAGAATCCTCATCGCAATAGTAAAAGCCAACCATTCTCAGCGAGTCAGGGTTTTTAACGAGTGAAGAGTCACGCCATTAAGGTTAATACATTCTCACTTCCTCCGCGTACAGCCTCACAGACATACACAGTGACCTACAATCCGCAGTCCTGTCATCCACAGACAGTCACTAGCGTCCCTGCTGACCCTCTTCATAATCACTAGCAGTTGTTTCTCCGCCCCTGTTTCTGAGAGTATCTTCCTAATTGTCCATAGCATCCAACACGGTGACGACAGAGAAACGCTACTCCCAGTGGAGAACTGTCAGATCGCGTCGTTACCGTGAACTATCGACTCTAATACGTACACCCGCCTCAGTTATCAGCCTCATCAGGGATGTGGGAAAATCCAAATTCGCTCAAGTCGCTCAAGTCGGCTCAAACCTATCAAATTCACACAACTTTTTGTAAATATGATACAATTAATGTGGAATTGAGACGCGCGTGCCTACAACTTGAGTCTGCTACAGTAGTAAATCACTCTAGCAAGTCACACAACTTGGCTCAAACCTTGCAATTCACTTAAATTCATTACAGTAGACCAACATTTTGTAAATATGATACAGTTAATGTACCCTGACACGGGCAGATTGGCGTGCAGGCGTGGAGATGTCGGCAGGCAGGGGTGGGCAGCCGGCCACGCAGGCAGACTGGCAGATGGTTGGGCGTGCTGCTGCCGTGCATCGTGTCGCGGTCGCCGCTGCTGCCGTGCGTCGTGTTGCGGTCGCCGCTGCTGCCATGTACCATGTCACGGTTGCCGCTGCCGCCATGCGTCGTGTTGCGGTCGCCGCTGCTGCCATGCACCGTGTTGCGGTCGCCGCTGCCGCCGTGCGTCGTGTCGTGGTCGCCGTGCGTCGTGTCACGGTCGCCGCTGCCGCCGTGCATTGTGTCGTGGTCGCCATGCGTCGTGTCGCGGTCGCCGCTGCCGCCGTGCGTCGTGTCGCCACTGCTGCCATGCACCGTGTCGCGGTCGCCGCTGCCGCCATGCATCGTGTCGTGGTTGCTGCTGCCGCCGTGCGTCGTGTTGCGGTCGCTGCTGCCACTGTGCGTCGTGTCGTGGCCGCCGCTGCCGCCGTGCGTTGTGTCGTGGTCGCCGCTGCCGCTGAGCATCGTGTCGCGGTCGCCGCTGCTGCTGTGCGTCGTGTCGCGGTTGCCACTGCCGCCGTGCATGGTGTCGCGGTCGCCGCTGCCACCGTGCATGGTGTCGTGGTCACCGCTGCCGCCGTGCATGGTGTCGCGGTCACCGCTGATGCTGTGCGTCATGTCGCGGTTGCCGCTGCCGTTGTGCGTCGTGTCGCGGTCGCTGCTGCCGCCGTGCGTCGTGTCGCGGTCGCCGCTGTTAAGGCACGGTCGTGTTGTGGTCGCCACTGGCGTACCTCATGTTGTGGCCATGGCTGTTGCCATGCGTCGTGTCGTGGTCGCCGCTGCTGGCGTACATCATTTTGCGGCCGTGGCTGCTGCCATGCGTCGTGTCGTGGTCGGGGCTGCTGCCGTGCATCGTGTCACGACCGTGGCCGCTCCTATGCCATTGCGACGCGGTCGCCACTGCTGCCATTGCCATCGTGTTGCAGTTGCCGGCGGTACTGTGTCTGAGTGAGTTCGGACCGCAGAGGCAAGCGTAGCCCTACTGTGTCATTTGATGCTCGGCCGGCCGGCATAGGTGTTGAGGCTAGGGCAGATGCATGAGAGGAGGGGGGGGCAGGAAAAGGAGAGGAGGAGAGCGAGCGAGCGTGAAGGCTTGAGCTCGACTTAAAGATTTTTGCCTCATAAGTCTGACTAAGCTCCCTTTTTTCGTATACCCTGCAGGATGTCCTTGTCTATGCTAAAGTACGGGAAGGGGAGTCGCCTTGATAGTGTAGTGGTTATGTTGCCTCAGTTTATGTAAGTCATACCTGAGGTATGCCGGAGGACGTCATGAGTTCGAATCACGCTCGACGCACAATGTAATGCAAATAATTTATGTGATAATTTATATGTGAAATAATTTATGTAAAAATCAAAATGCCTCTCCTGTAATTTATAAGTCTTAAATCTGTCACGCTGGATATACCATGAGTAGATTACTATATTTGGACTTGCATGATGTGACATGAGTTAATGAAAATCAATGCAATTGTGACTGCAACTGAAGGATGCAGTCCAGTTAGGTTATAGTCTTTTTACAGTCCATGCAACTGGCTATCTCGCAATTATTTGATCAAATTTTAAGTTGATCAGGAATGCCTAACATTAGATTCCATAAAATTTCCTCATGTTTCCTCAAATTTTATGAGTAGCTCAAATGCATCAAATGAGTCAAATTATCGTAAATTTGAGTGGTTTGTACAAATTTGAGTTTTCCCATGTCCCCGATGGCCCGCCCCCGCCCGCCTAGGGCTAGGCTGCGGGGATTTCAACTTACGTCACTGAATGAGGACCGGGAAGTAGGTGGCAACATACCGATGGTGTCAAGAAAGGCTAAGAGGCTCTTCTGATACGTTCTGCATGGCCCCTGGTTAACAATGCACCCGTATCAATTACAAAATCCCAAGGTCGATCGGCGCTCAGACCTGGGAGTGATATTGTACCTTGAAAGAGATGCGGAAAGTTTTGATATGTGATATATAGTTGTAAGGGTATCGTAGGCAAATTACATGAGTGCCACCACCCGAGACGGGGATATGAGGAAACGCATTTTCCCCTACTTGGTTCGTCGAACCAGATACAGGATACGCAGGCTGATGAGCACCCCGCTACATAATACAAATATTACACGCGGTCGTTAGTGGTTGTTTACGATACGAATGATAAAGTACTCCAAAGAAAGCGAGTGGGTAATGTATCACTGAGGTCTTGCCTCCGAAGATCCTCTGCTTGTCTCGTCCCCCCGGTTTTGTTCATTGAGATCTGCGGGTCAACCCGCTCAAATCAAGCACCGCGCCTCATGCAAAATGGGCACCCCCTTCCGGGGAATTCGAGAGCGGGGAGTTGCCAATCCGGACTTCTGTCATGGTCGATGGTCCCTTAGCGCCAACCGCCCCACTCGGAATGGTGCAGCTAAGCGCCGGACTGTCCACAAGTCCACGGTACAGTCGCAGAGCGCCGATGGACATGGCAACCACTTTTGGCAGGGTGTCACAAATCAGAAATGTTCACATGACGCTCGACAGTATGGTCTACTCACTCCCGGGAACCATGAACATCTGCAGAGTTGACCTGGGTAAGAATATTATCCAATCTTTTTTAAACCGACAAACGTACCCGGTCCATGACATCTACAGAGGCGGATTCACAGGAATTTGAATATTCAGTCTCTGGGTTGAGAAGAGAGCTACCCACCATTCAAATTTAACAAGATGAAAATCTGGGAGCCCACAGTCAGGTACATGTCCTATATCTATGGATAACAGACTCACCACTGGAGGTAGATCGGCGAGAGTGACAACTAGAACCCAAAATAACCCCTATGGCCATTTCAAAATGCACAGTCAACGGTAACGGACTCGTGAGAGATAGTAAAGACCGACCTGTTTGTACAGGACCCGCCAGATTCCGCCCTTCTGACGACCTTCCTTCCAACGCAAGATGCCGGAAAGCATGAGATAAAGTAGTACTAGGTCCGTGATGAACGAGGAGATGATAGTAACTCTTATGTCCACGAGGTGGTCAACGTCACAAAAGCCATCAATACGGCGCCCACTAGATATCGCTGCGTCTGACGACAGGTCTGAGAACACCCAATACGAGGAAGGGATAACGACGACGAACTATAAATGAAGGCGACGGTGTTGGCGAACCAAAGGGCACAAGTGAGCAAAAGCACCGTCGTGCTGCGTTCCCACAGTGCGTAGCTAAGGGTACCAGGTTCAGAGGGGCAAAGTTACCAAGACCAAGGGGGATTTTGCTCACATGCGCAGAATAATCAACCCGGCTGCACACAGGAACGAAAAGTAGGCAAATAGCTGCACATCCCCTTGAAAATGAGATCACATAACGAGAGTGCCAGAGTATCTCACGAAAGCCATTAAAACCAAGACCTGAAAGCAGGTTCAGTCTCTTCTTCCGTCTGAAGCGAATGAGAATCAGATGCCTCGTACCTTGCAATTGACTTGACTTGACATGTCGATGGCCACAAGCTGGATAATAAGGGCGGCTAAGGTGCACCAACGACATCCTACGTAGAGCTGACGAGCCACGGCATGAAAACCTCCAAATTCATCACGTCCAACAGGGAACATACAGGGAGTGTCTTGGTAAACTTGCAGTTCCCCGCGATAACAGAAAATTCATAGTTGAGGTTCAAGACAAACTCCCAACTGGGGAGATATGAGAATCGCTAAGCGAACAGACGAGAGAACTCTTGAACGAATAGACTTACATGTACAAACCAGCCACGATATGGACAAAGTTAACGAGAGTGACTATTATATGAGGCTAAATCGTAGGTTGTTCAGATTTGAGGGGTTGCACGAACCGGCTTCCGAGAGCTCAGTAAGAGGATTACTCCAGTTTGTCATTAATTTTAGTGAGCGATCAACGCTACGAGTCGAAAATGGTTGAAGAAAAGGAGAGCTTGGGGAGGGAAAAGGGAAGCAAAGGCCGGACCTGGCAACAACCCATAGGTCGTACTTAAGCAACGTGGCGGCATCCCAGATGATGCAAACGCCAGTCTGAATGAGAATCCTCAGATTGACATTCACCATCACTCCGACGGCTGTGGCGCCATTCACACGGTGCAGGGCCCACGGAATCACGTTTGTACCTGAACGACGCTGGGAATCAAATTATGAGTGCCGTTATGAAGATGCATGATCAGAAACGAAAATCCCTGCACTCGATCGGCCCGTTACCGCGGCGACGGTCGATAGCACGTATCCAGGATTCCGCTCGAGCGGGGCTGTGTTCATCGCTTTCCAATCAATGTTTCGGCCAGGGTCTCGAGGTGTTCATCAGAAACAAAGAGAATGTGATCATTGGAAAGATTTTCGGGGCTGACACAAACGATACAGGAAGCCTAAGAAGAACGAGATTATTCTCTTTAACAGGATGAAACCGACGCCATACTGTGATAGACTTGACACGGTTAGGGTTATCGTAATCACAGGTCTGAGGTCAGTGACATCAGACTTGTGGAGATGATGCTCAAAGATCTGTCGGAACGCACGCACAATATACTGGGTATGTGGAAATCCTACACAGAGGATACATGTAAATTTGTTTTTCTTTCCCTGCAAAGGGACCCGGAGCCGTGTAAGAAATATATTTAAAAAATATCCTTGAAGTCAGTCCAATTGATGTTGCGGCTAAAAATAACGTCATGATAACTGTCTTATCCCGATTCAATTGTACGATTTGCAACAAACTCGGTTCACAAAGACGCAGTACTGATGATCCTACCCTAATGCCAATTAATGGTCTCCCATCGAGTTTAATAGAAAGTCAACCCCAGGGTCATGAGTAATGTTTCTCCCAGTGCTCCTGAAACGCGCTCCCGGGCCGGCTTCATGTCTCCGAGAGACGAGAAGGCAGAAATATGGTTCATAGCGTGTAATTTGCAGCATGGAGGGGCAATATGGTCTCCATCTTAGTCGAGGAGAGCCCAAAGACCAGGAGAGCGTTAGATTGGTGCGTGTGCGAAAATGACCAAACGACTCCCCATGGGCTCGTCTCACATAGATTGTAACCACGCTGAGCACTTACGGTAAGAAGGTTTCACATACCCACCACATTTGATGACTGATTTCAAGGACAGGCGCTGCCACACAGAACGGACATTGACAATTTGAAGGGTTCATGGCGGGTTTGATGACGTCGAGAGGACATTGTTAGCGCGAAGGTACGAGTCGACGCGTGGAGAGTTCAGCAGGGTCGAGTTCTGAAAGAAGGGAGAATGGGTCACATAAGAAAGGAAGAGAATGATATCGTGGGCGATCCTATCGTGCTCCGTCATTTTTTGTTACTCGAAGCCTTTTGGAAGGCTCATATACATGGTGCTACCTGTACAGTAGTCCTCGGCGATGGGTGTGAAGGCGTGGCCAAATGGGCGCGCTGCAAGTCGCCATTGGTTGCTGTAAACGTCGAACGGGTGGCGTATAGTTCCGTAGGACAGGAAAGACTAAGTGGGAGAAGAATGAAACAAGCGTACGAAAGCGGTAATCTATGATGAGTATCAAATACGAGCGGGACTGTCCAGAGGGGATCGATCAAGAATATTGGGGAATGGCGAGGTCGGCGAGCATGGCAACGATTTGATGTCGGCCGAGCGAGGAGTCCAACGGGGGCTTCGAGCGGTGGGCAGGTCTTCGGCGCGCGGTCGGATTTGAGGGTGGAGAAAGAGGGCGAGAGGGCAAGAGGGTGGGGCGATGAGAGAAACATGCTCAGGGCGCCGATGACAAAGGTTGAGTGTGGGCGCTCCGAATGGCCCGGGATTGTTCCGATTCCGAGGGCAGCGGCTGGCCTAACCTTACAACATGATATGGTATTAACGAAGAGAGAGCAAGCTGTTGATAGAGATGCCAGAAGGGACATGAGAGAATATTACCCTGTATCGAGCGATACTGGTACGTGGGCACGACCTACGTTATACATCTGCAAGGTGACAGAGCAGTGGCTACGTTGTATAAACTCAGCTAGGATAGTTTCCATGTGGACAAAAGATTATCGATTATCAGGAAATCAGGCGATGTTGCCACTCAGGGATTTGTCCCTTCGTAGCAGTCCAAACAAGTTTGTGGGGTAATGCAAGCCAAGGTGTCCAAAGTTGCGAGTCAAGTTACTTGTCAACCTCTTGCCAGTGACGTATTTACTCTCTGAGGTAGATTGGGAGTGGGGAACCATGAACTGGATTCGTGTCTCGGTTGACCGTGCTTTATCTCCAACTAGTGGTACCTACGTTGTACATCTGTGAGATTGAGATATGCCAGCATCTACGGTGTGTAAACTCGGATAGGTTAGTCGATA